GACATAGTTCAGAAATTAGTTGATTCTTTATTAGATTGTCAATTGCAGAAGTTTTCGCATGTGTACTACTTTTACGGGCGCCAGTGTATTGCAGACCGAACGAAAGAGTGTCTGGCGAATTGGCAAAGTAACGGCACGCAACTAATCGCTATATACACTGCTTATGTTCACGGGTGTATGTATGTATGTGATGCTGTCAATATATATATGCAAATATGTAGAAAGAAACGAAAATATCACGTCGGGGTCACCAAATGTTGAGCTATCGAGATTTTTCGAATAGCTTTAAATTATTAAACGATTGAATTTACTTAGTGATTAGTTTATTAGCGATTATTAGAGTTTACAGAGTTTATGTGATAGACGCGAGCAAGCGACTAGTCTGTCGTGCTGTCCGCTACTATGTTTGTAATAGTCAATCTAACACTGCATCTGCTCTAAACAAGAGTTAATTGCATACTAACTACAATGTACGCGAGCCGGCGGATTAAGCTGAGCCGGTGCGTGGGTGAAAGAGACAACGCAAAAGGGAGAGCGTGATCTCCGTTACAAATTCTCTTACATGATAACATATTCTATGAACTGCCGCTCTTAATTACAATGAAGCGATGATTGCTGAGCCCAACAATCGATAAAAAAAATGATCGGGATGAGTTATCGAATGATAAATTCAAAATCCGCGCTGTAAATACGGACATTTTAATCAAATTTGAAGTCTCTAGCTCTTATATATTCTGAAATCGACGCGTTCATACATACGGACGGACAGGGCCAAATCGACTCAGCTCGTCGCCCTGATCAAGAATATATAAACTTTATGGGGTCTGCCACGCCTCCTTCTGCCTGTTACATACATTTCAACAAAACCATTATACCCTGATTTCCCATTGAAAATGGGTTCAGGGTATAAAAATATAGAGCCGAGCAAATACGAAATTGATAGGCCCTAGGAGACAGATTTTTCGGTGCTGAAAAACTTAGTACTACATTTCTAGTCTCTGTGTTCTCTGGTCAGTGGTATTATGTATATTATACACGTTTTCTGCTTAATTCAGCTCATCGTGATGTATAGAAATAGTTCTATTAAACCAGTAAATTTAGTGGAGGTAACATTTTTACAAAACATCTAACAAAAATATTGATATTTCTCATTTTATTTGAAACATCGATGTATCGATGTTGCGCCCAGCACTACCTAAAAGCACTAGCACTAACCAGAGAACACATAGACTAGACAACTAGTGGAAAGCTTTTTGCAAGCGCGCCTCTTCAATTAAAACCCAAAATCGTTCACACAATTCTAAGTTGTCGTAGGCACACGTCAATGCTCATGTCGCATGCATACACACATAAACATACACAAAAATACGCACATACATATAAAGGCACTCAGATGCTTCTACAATGATAACCCCATCATTTGTGAGCATCGCGGCCCCTGCGTACACACAATCAAACATACAGTACCGAGCAAAAATGAGTGAATGTTACAGAACTTTGACGTTCATCACGCATAAAAATTAAACCATACCAGCAAATCAACAAATTTTTTTGTGTGTTTGTTTATTAGTGTATTCTTAACAAATACAAAAAAGTTGCAAGGCTAAATTAGCAAAATTCAAAAAATTAGAAATAAAAAACCGAAAAAATCCACATAAACTCAATTTTGCACGTTTAAAAAAAAACTACTAAAAACTAAAAAAAAACTAAACATTTTTAATATTTAGTCCAAAACCCTTATTAGCAATAATTTTGTTGACTATTTTTGGCATGCTCTCAGCCAAACTTTGAATCATTTCTTTCGGAAATTGGCTCCACTCCGCTTCTACGCGCTCCCATAAGCTGTCAATGTTCGTTGGGGCGGCATCATACTGTCCCAGCCGTCTTTTCACTATTGAACACAGATTTTCAATAGGATTGAAGTCGGGATAGGATTTATATATAGACTCTATATGTATGGAGCGAAAATTAGCTTAAAATTCTGCTTTCCTATCCACTCCTAAATAATCTTTACAGTATGTTTTGGATCGCCATCTTGTTGAAAACCCTTTCTCTGTGGGGACACGCACATTTATCAGTGAATTTGGGAAAATGGGTTTGAAGAATATTCATATAATCCTTCCTCTATGTAGAGGATCAACGTTCTACCAAGAGAAGCATCCCCAAACCATAATGCTGCCGCAGCCATGTTTGACGATTTCCTTTACATGTGTCGTTGAATGCGTTCCCCAGGTCTGCACCAGCAATATTGCTTTCCATATGATTGGAAACGGTTAAATTTTAATTCATCTGACCAAACAACTCGTTTCCAATCATAAATGCTCCAGTTTTTGTGATCCCTTGCAAATTTCAAACGCGCCTTCATATTCTTTTCGGACAATGCAGGTTTGTTTTTTAACGAATGATACATATCCGAAGCCACGAATTTCTCTTCTAGCAGTCCATTTGCTAACATTTTTATTAATTGCTAGAGAAACACCCTTTGGTGCTAGCCGCTTGTTTTTCTTAATTTTCGACATCATTAGGCGAGCATCAGAGCCCGAGAACAGTTTTTTGCAACCTTTGACTTGAGTTTTCGGAGTCAAATTTCGGCTGATTCAAAGCTTTTCGGCAATAATAAGCGAAGGAAATCCCTTCCCGGTCAGGCACACACCACTATTTTCAATGTCGACTGAAATTTTCCACATTTTAAAATTATATTTCACCAACTTTTTTAAATTTGTTGCGAAAAGAAAATGTGCTTCAAATCGCTTTACAAATAAGAATATTAAAAGGACTAAGATAACGGTAAATCTACATGCTCAATCTACGACTAAGAAGAATACCCAAGGAGCTAAGTTATGGGGAAATCTGGATGATTTCGGCTGAGAAGAGAAGTAGAAGAGCCAAAGTATTGGCAATTATGAAACGTGCAAAATTGAGTTTATGTGGATTTTTTTTGGTTGTGTTGTGAAACATTCACTCATTTTTGCTCGGTACTGTATGTATGTAAGTGTGAGCAGTTCACAAGAATGACCTAATGCAAATGCTGGGCTTTAAAATTGCTACAGGCAGCAAGAGCCTCGCACACAAGCATACAAATGCTCATAGTACATGTAGCAAGGGAGAGTGTGTGCGTGCACGCTCGTCGCGAAAGCATTTTCATTATGCGCACCAACGCTTTCATACCCTTCCCACAAATAATAACGAAAACGCAAATATTTTGTAGGAGCTTGGCAAACGGTTTGAAAAGTTCGGTATACTCTTCACACAGAAGGGAAGGCATGGGTTCTTGCTGCGACGAAATTTCAATTTTCGTGAGCTGCTGCTTGTGCTCACATGCATACATACATATACACATTCGAGAGAGCAGAGAGCATCGAGAGAGAGAGAGAGAGCAAGGGAAACATTGAGCATAGAGGGATATTTTGCTCAAAATTTGACCATCTCGGTCGAGCGCATGAAGCGAAATGATTGTGCGTTCGTATTTTTTCGTAGCTCGAACCTAAAAGTAAGGAGCCGAACGAGTCCAAAGTTGTCTGGGGTGTTAAAGCCTCAAAAAAAAGCGTGCAAAAAGCTTTCCACTAGTTGTTTAGTCTATGTGTTCTCTGGTTAGTGCTTATTTGCTACAGAATATATCCACTGGCTTCAACTTATTCGCTCTCCACTACAAAATGAGTGTAATGTAAGGTGGACTAATGAGCCACCTTATAACATATGCAAACAGAAATTTTTATTTTAAATAAATAATGTAATTACCCTTATTCTTCGGTTAAATACGTATTAATCCATATTAAATATCACCAACGCAAAGTAAACTAAAATAAATGTTTACTTAAAAAAAATTGCGACACTTTAACAACAAGCTTATTTCTTAACCCAATTTCTATCTCGAGTTCTTAATAAAAGGAATGTTGCAAAAATTTTCAAAACGACCATAAATATCGATATATATGGGAAAACTATCGATATTGCCACAAACAAGCAAACATTTGATCAGGGTGACCGAATATGGTATTTTAAATACTTTTTGGTATTTTATCAGCTCCGATTTTGCTCAAAAGTATTTAAATGGTATATAGGTATTTAGTAGCATTTTTCTTCGATTTTATGGTATTATATGGTATTTTCGGTTTGGTCACTCTTTAAGTCTTAATGAATCGAATGCTTAATGCTTAAGACTTGCTTAATTTTAAAACAAATAAATAGAAAACATGAGCAATAAGCAAAAATATAGAGCTGAGTGGGAGACTATGCCGGAAAATGAAAAATGGCTAATAATATGGATGCGCACTGCAAAGCGTGCCAGACTAACATTTTGGGTAGGCTGGCGTCACTTAAACAGCATGCGGCTACACAAAAACAAAGATTTAATAATTTTGCCCGTTTCTAATCCGTTGTGTGAACGCATATTCTCTCAAATTAATTTAATCAAAACGAAAAATCGAAACCGCTTTAAAAATGTAAATATATCACATATATTACATGCACAATAATCATTGCGCGAAAATGGGTGCAATAATTTTAAGCCCAGTGAACAAGTGTGATGTAAAGATTTCAACAAATTGAATTTAAGCTGCTCTGACGAAGAAGGCTAGTAAATATAATTAAATAATCTTAAGAGAAACTGAGAAACTGAACAAAGAAGTTCCTTTATTATTTTATTTTAAGAAAATGTTACAAAATGAATTTTAAGCATTTAATTAATTTTAAGACTTTAAATATATATTGGAATATGGAATTGAATACGAATGCATATGTTCTAGTTTTATGTTGGACTGAAATATTATTAATTTTTTAAAATGAAATAAACAACAAACTTTTTTTGCAATGGGAAAACCCTTATTTTTTCTATATATAATAAGTCAGTTATTATTTTATTATAATTTGAATTTCCAGACGATTTATTTGTTATGGTATTTATAGTGGAATTTTGTAAAATATGAAATAGTATTTTATAGTATATTTTTGAGACCAAATTGGTATTTTTCGTTTGGTCCGGCGCGGTCACCCTGCATTTGATATCTCGATAGTCCCATCGATATATTGCCAGCCTTACTGTGAGGTCTACTTTTTCAATTAAATTTTACTTACATGGGAAAAAATTAAAAATGTTAAGTGAAGCAGACAACTTAGCTGACATCTTTCGTGGTGGACTGCCTTATTTTCTAATTATAACATTACCCATATTAATAATATGCTCACCATGTCTTGCTAGTGAATTTCAAGTAATGTCAATGACAAAATTTGATGTTAATGGGGAACAATTTGGTAAGTACAATATTTAATATACTTATGTAACAGATATAGATATATGTATGTATGTTAACCAAATAATTTTTACGTTTTATAGGATCGCGGTCATCCGTAATATCATTAGAAGCTAAATCCTTATATACTTGGAGCACAGGCCGGCATTGTGTTCTAGCTAGGTAAGCACATAAGATATTTATTCGAGAAAAATTACTTCAAAATGTGTAACTACATACAATTAATTTATTATTAAATGTTATCACTTACATATGAGCATATTAAATGGTTAAATAGCAAATTGCTAATTAAAAATGTACAATGTACAATGTACATACATATGTATATGTTTGAATATATTTATACATACAGTTTGACACGAAAGTGTTTTCACATTGGAAGAAAATATAATTTTGTTCTATAACATTAAAAACAAGTAATAAAACTCTAGTCGAGAGTGCTCGACTAAATACTACCCTGAACCAACCTAATAAAAAATCACATCTAATAACGTTCTACATTTCAATTTCGATGTTTCAAAATATAATTGAAATAAAATACCTCATTAACTGTAAAATATTGATATAAACTATAAATTGTCACTCACAACTGATTAGCCATGTTAATTAACTAAAGTGAAAAATGCGATAACTAACAAAAAAGTGAATGAGTGCGTGATAGGCGAAAAACTTCTTGAGTGAGTTTACATTAGAATGAGCTCAAGGCGTCGTACACAGTGGCGACGAGCTGAATGAGGTCGGTCGAAATAATGCATTACATACGAGACGTAAAGCAATGCATTACCTATGAGATTTTTTGTCTGCACATTTGTATTGTACAAAAGAAAAGCGACTACTCATACGAAAGAAAAAATTGCATTGATGACATGACTCATTATTTTTCTATAATTATTTCCATGGCGGATTATCATTATTTGGGTGAACAAAAGTATTTTGACATTAATATTTATTAAATAAAGTGACACAAAAACTTAACAATGATGATAGTAAGAAAAATATTTATAAGAATTAAACCCTCCTTAGACATCTGCAAGCGTTTAGGGATCGATTTAACCAAATTTTGTAATGTTTCTATTGAAAAATCCTGCTAAAGTCCTCAAACCTCAGCAATCCCTCTCCTTGGGCGTTTTTGATATGTCTAAGCTACGTTTTACTTTTGCATATGCCCACACATTCTCTATAATATTGAAATCAGGACCCTGAGGTGGCCAATCTAATGTATTGACTTCAATATTCCCCGAAAATTATAATATAGACCTTGTGGCATGGATCATTGTCCTGCTGCAGTATACATGATTTTCCAATGAGCTGGTAACCGGAATTCGATGAGTGGTCATTCAGGACACGTAAATAATTATCCTTGTTAATTTTTTAATTAATTAATATCAAATTGGAGAGGCTATTGACACATGTGAGCCCGTAGAGCATTACCGATTCTTCACCATGTGACACCCGTTCGTACATAGTACTCTTTTTTTGCGAATATTTTTTGGCAACCTGCTATAAATCGCTTTTTTTATCCATGATACACAAAGGCACTATCGTCCATTTATAATACTTTTTCTCCAGAATAATTGTGGCTTGGCTAAGAAGTTTTTAGCAAATCGTTACCTTTTTTAGTTTATTTTATAGTGATATTAAGGGTATTGGAAGATCTATAACGTAGAAAAATTGACCTTCTTTCGCCGACTTGTGATAGTTTTTCTGCTTATTGATAATTTATGATTATTTTTGAGTGTGATCGACATGACTTTTAGGAAAATCCGCACTTTTTCTTTAAGATTTGTCATTATGATGCGGCCTTCTACAGGTTTTTTGGAATGATTTTCCCGATCTGGCCTTTTTGTTTGAGTGAATCAGTTTTCTATTTTTTGCTAATTCGGTAGTAAATTGATCATAGAGGTGCATTTTATAAGCTTGTAAGCATTTCCACGGAAATACCTGCATTATTCTTTGTGATTGATTGATTTTTTAAAGATTTCACTTAACCACGTTGTTTGCCCATAATTTACTGAAAACTATGATCAACTAATGGCTATTATTAAAGAGGACACCAAAAATAATTTAAAAAATAAAAATATGTATTTTTGTCATGTCATGTCATCAATGCAATATTTTGGTCACTTAAAGCCTAGTATGTTTGCTCTCTCTAAAAAATATAATGGGTACCGTTAGCTCTCTCAGCACGCAGAAATAAGCGGTTATAGTTTTTACAATGTGTTGTCAAAATACTTTTGTCCTCCATTGTATGTGTGATGATTTCTGTTTTGGTTTTACCCACCGCTACGCGTCACTTTTCTGATTTTTTTGAGCCGTGCGGACGTAATTTTGAAGGAAAGTATTTCGCAGTGAGTTATAAATATAAATATGCTCTATCTGGTATGTATAAATCATCTTACTTTTATCTTTAATAAAACAAAAAAATAATAATAATGTTTAATTAACAGAAGGGTTTGCCAAAAAAGAGCTATTAGGAATTGCTAGCGGGTTCAGAAAAGTCGGCTGGCAAAGCAAAAATTTGATAAAAAAAAAATAAAACAATAAATTAATATGTAGTTATGTAAATATAGACTGAGTGAATTTAGATTTTAAGAATGTAAACAATATTTAGCGAATACGACATTTAAATAAAAAATGCTACATTAGTGTACATTACAATATTCAAAAAAGTATGCGCTTGGGTAATGGAGAACCGAATGAAACTTCGTCACTTCATTACTTTCTTTCATTAAAAAATTCAATCATTTCATGCACCCGGTAGAAAACGCGATCATTTGTTAAGAAAGTAATGGACTTGGTAATCGGTCTTTTCAAGCACAGGCGACAAGTAATCCATGAGTAATGGACAAAATAATGGGCGTTTCCGCCACTGGGATGGTTTTGTTTGGAACAGACAAAAGAAGATCAGGGCGACGAGCTGAGTCGATTTAGCCCCGTCCGACCGTCCGTCCGTATGTATGAACGCGTCGATCTCAGTATAGGAGCTAGAGACTTGAAATTTTTTTCCTAGGTCCGTGTATATCACGCGCGCTTTTAGTTTTCTCCTTTCAAATATAGATATATATGTATTTTATAGAATTTCGATATAAAAATCAATAGTCATAATCTGAAAGTTTCATGATTTAAGTCCATCCTCAAAAAATGTTAACAATTAAGTTCCCATAATATTCCCACACTTCAGTGACACACTTTTGTGAGTGTGTTTCTTGTGTAATCAGTAAGAAGAATTATTTAAATATCAATTCCTCTCGTAGTCGACCAGACTCGACTAGAGCTTTCTTCTTAGTTTTGTAATATTTTTCTTATAATTAAACTTAATTGAATTTATTAAGAAATAGGTTTGGAAAAAATGTAAATGACTTATATTTGCATCTAAAGTCAGAAAATGTATTTTTTTCGTTGTGTGTTTAAGTGTTTCTTGACAAACTATGATTATATAAAGACAATGTATATATCTCAATATCAATATATCTATGATTTAATTGGTACATTGTTCTTTTTTTTTTTTTTTTTTTGTTTTTTTTAGGTTAATGGACATTTCCATAAGTGATTTTAATAAGATCCGTCAAAAAGCCGGTGGTCTTATCATTATGTTTCCAGATAACGTGCAAGCTTTAAGCAACGAAGTTAAGGATCAGATCTTAATGCTAGAACAGCAAATGCTTTCTCAATCCATACCCATTCCAGTTTATTTTGCTCCTTTTACCAAAAACCTGGAGCATATTATAAATGACATCACATCAACACCAATCCAAAACAATGTCCAAAACAAAACTGCCCTTGGCCAACTTTTATTATCAGTGAACGCCAATGGTTACCACATCACTGTAGATGGCCAAAATGGTGTAGCAAATAAAAACAGTAAAGTGTCAACTATTCAAGGAGAATTCGTGCCAAATCCCTTTGCTATGCAACAGCTGGAGACTGGTGGCGATAGCAATATCTTACCTCTTATTTTGATCACAGCCAATTTGAAGACATTTGGCATAATTAATGTAAGTTAAAATTTCTGAAACATTTTTATGACTTTAGATGCCATATCCTCTTCGCCCCAAATTTGCAGAAAAAATAAATAGTAGAAGCTGCTTTGATTGAAACCCACATTTTAATATCGCATTTAGAAAATTTCATCAGGATAGTCCATCTACAAGAAAAGTTCTCCAACAAATAAGTTCTAATAGCGGTTTCCGCTGCCGTGTATATGTATATATATTTATGTCAATGTACATACATACATCCAGGTACTGATAGTTGGTATCTAAAAACCTGGCTTAAAATTTATATGACATTTGTATCCTTTATATCTTATAATTGGTAATAAACAACTAATACTTCATAAATTTTATTTTTCAGGATTATCCATTAAACGCTGATACGGCGGTTCTTATGGCACTTATAGAAATATTTAGTAAATTACATACCACAGTTAGTACTACGCCAAAATATCGGTTAGGATTCTTGCTATCGGACTCCGGACTACTACTTAATTTCCAAGGATCTAAGAAATGGATTGAAATGGATGACAACTTAGCATTACGGGTAATCAAATATTAAGTATTAAAACAAGTTTTTTAGTAAATTACTTCAGTTTCCAAAATCCTTGAAGCATTGCCTGGTGACAAGTATCCAATTTCTTTGTCTGTAGTTGCGCATAATGGACGCGACTTTACGACTGCCTCTATCTGTGTAAGCAGTGTGCTCAAAGGTAATCATCATCACTTGCCGCAAGTGTACCTTTACGGAACGCACAGCAGACTTCCATTTTCCACCCCAATGTGACGAATATTGTGGAATTAAGTACCACTTGATGCTTTGCTCCGACAATTTCCTTGTTACCCTTTCATTATGCTCACGTGAAGTATGTAGTTGTAACATCTCGTTTAATGCGCGCTTAGCACCGACGAAGTTACGTCCGAAGTTACGCCCGTTGTCGCTATACATTTCTGCAGGCTTCACACGGCGGGCAATAAATCGTCTAAGGGCTGCCAGGAAAGTGTCTGTCCTTCGGTCTCTTGCCAATTCTAGTTGTAGTGATGATGTTACCATACAAACAAATAGACAAATGCAGTCTTTCTCTAGCCTCTAGCAAGACAGGTCCAGTATAATGGACTCTATTGTGCTCGAATGTAAAGGCCTGCCGCACACGAGTGGCAGGTAAGTTAGCCATATACTGTTGCGCAGTGTGATGACGCTGCTTGAAACAGTTTAGGCATCCATGCGTGATTCGACGGATGATGTTTCGGGAGCCAAGTATTCAGTACTTCTGACGAATTATGGCAAACAGTGCCGAAACTCCAATATGAAGGTTGAACTGATGCTCATGCTTCAGTAAGAGCTCAACTAGTCGAATGTGGTTAGGTAGTACAATCGAGTGTTTCTCTAAGTCCTCCAACTCGAATAAGGCCATCCTGGCCAAAAAATAGAGCTAGCTTGTGCAACTTGGAATGGTGTTGGTGGTGTAACTGGATGTGATCCATGTGACTGTCTATGATGCGGGGTATATTGACCTGTTGTATCGACGAGATACATCTGACAAGAGTACGCCTATTTCATCGGTAGTTCAGAGTCCCAATCCAAATAGAGCAACCAAAGTTCTTGAACTGGACTACCACTGGCACCAAAATGCCAAGAGGATCAATAATGTGTGCTACACAGCTTGCATTCTCCGATAATATACTGTTGTATGTAAGGTTATCTTCTCCAGGATCCCAGTGTAGTCCTAGGACCTTTGACGTTGCTGTTGACATGGTGACTCTATCACTTTGCGCAGTCCTCAGCCATGTGCTATTTAAGATCCATTTTCCCATTTGCAATCGTGCACGTGACATGAGTGCAACCAGCTGAGTTTGAATGTTAATAAGTTCTTCCTCTGTCATGGCTTCTGTTAATCCATCATCCACATAGAAATCCTCGAACAATATCTCGTGGTCCAATAGTCCTTGGCGAGTTGCTCTAACATTTTGACTGCCAGGAATGGCGCAGACGCAGTCCCATATGTAACTGTGCAGAGTCTGAAGTGTTTCAATGGTGCTGAAGGATCTTCTCTCCATAATATTCGTTGAAAACTTGTGTATTCGAAACCTCATGCGAACGTTGAACAGATTGCGTTGTATATATGGACCAATATGAAGCGCATCGTTTAGAGACTGACCATTTGGTCTTTGAATGAGCCATCAAATACCACAAGAAATTTAGTACCTAGCAACTGATAGTGCGGCATATAGAAAATTCTCTTCGAAGTGGTGCCTTCTTCTGCATCCACCTCCTTTATGTGGTCCAGTTGTATGTATTCCCTCATGAATTGTACATACTTCGATCGCTCTTTGAAAGGTGTCTGCAAAGTCTTGTCTATTTTGCTCGAACGGTAGCTCGACTATGTATCTTCTAGCGGCATTATGGGAGTGTGATTAGACAAAATGAGGCTCCATCAAATCATCTTCTGTATTTGCAGACGTAACGATGGAACATCTTCCAGTTCCCAAAACCTTTATACCATGGACATCAAGGTAGCTAAGAGTGACGTAGTTGTAGGACTACCTTCTCCTCCTAGTGATTTGATGACCCATCCAAATATCGAATCGATGGCGATTGTGTTCCCCTGGACATTACACAACTTATCTCCAGTAAGAACCGTCCAAATGTGATCGTTGCCAAGCAGACTGTCGATTGATGCGTTGGTATTGAATGCTGCATCTGCTAGGTTGGGGCCGCTAAATATAAAGAGGTCTACTGCGTTTATATTTTCTCTCATCAATGACGAAGTAATATTTGCAAGCACGTGTGCCTTGACGTCAAATGATGCATCTTACACTCGCGACTTGATGTGCAGTGAAATGCGAGAGTGTGAACGGGCCAGACCCTATGTCTGGATGCACCGTTCCGAAACATAAGAGAACTCTGAGCCGCAGTCCAATAATATGCGGCAAACATCGTCTGGTTCTCCAGAATTATGCACATACACCTGCGCCGTTGGCAGTGTACTTCCCATATTTGCACCTTTGCCACCTTTCGAAGTATTCATGGCGTTCGTCAGTGCCATGCCTCATTTGGCTCATCCTTCTTTTGGTGTTTTGGCTCACCCTTGTCCTTAGTACTACGTTAGTGGAAAAGCAAGAGTGAGTGATGTCGGCGCTTGCAATGCTTACAGGATAACTTCGATGTACAAGTGCTCACTCCATGACCAAGTCTCAAACAATTAAGACACATGTGTTTGGACTTTGCAAAGGCATGTGGTTGCTGAGTAGACAGGCCCAAGAACTGTGAACATGCCAACAATGTGTGTTCCTTGATACACTTTGCACAGCGCTCTGAAGTGGCGAGTAGCGTAAGTACGATCCTGGTACCTCTGTCCTGTCTAGGTTTGCTGCTTGTCTGAGTTGCAGATAGGCTAAGTTCCAGCCGATGACAACGTGCGTCCAGAACTTGAGCAACTGCGTAGGATTTGCCATATCTTGACTTTTCATACCATTCATGACGTATGGTGTTCTTCAGCCAATAATCCCGATCCGTTTGTCCAGAAGCGTCTAATGCCCGAATTACAGTACCAGCTTCGTTCGTTAACATCGATGCTGGGTTGTGATCCGCAACTTGGGCAATCCAGTAAATAACCTAACCGCAAGTTTACCAAATAGCGAGGCTTCTCGTACCGGTCAATAATGAATTCCAAGTTATTTCATAGTTGGCATCGGCTAAGGGCAGACGCTTCTGCCTACAGCACCACCGCGTCGTTTCGAACAGGAGTAATTAAAACGAAATCACATTATTGTTATGCCGCCATATAGAAAAGAAAAGCCAGTGTAGCGACTGGAAATTCAAAAACAATGCAAAGACAAATCCATCGCAAAGAAATTCTTAGAATATGCTAGAGTACGCATTTATGTGTGCATACATACACGCATACAAATGAGCGCGTGTATAAGGCTGGAATGCTTGATGCTATGCGTGCAGACTTACATATATAACCATATTTAAATATATAAATATGTATGTATATGCGAATATGTATTTGAGGGCTATTTAAGAAGAAACAAATTTAAACTTATAAAATTATTCGACTAAGAAAAAGAAAAGTATTAAGTGGCATTCATTCAAGCTCGCACCTTCCCAATAAAATATCTATTTTATAAAAAACGAAATATGTATGAAAAAAAAAAAACATCGAAGAGGTTTCGAACCTCCCCTACTCTAATAATAATATTTCGTCCTAATACTGTAGAATATACAGGGTTTTACGATTTGCCACGCCCCAACTGGGCGTAGACACCTCATTGTTGGTCAGTTTTTAGAACGAGATAACGGTACTGCAAAGTTTGAATGCTTACTCTCAAAAAAATTACAGGGTATTTTTCGATATACCACGCCCCTAAAGAGGCGTAAAAATTATTTTTTGGGGAATCGTAGAGGAGGCTACCAGTAACTCAACTATCCAACTAGCTCAACTAGCTATTATACTTTAGGAGATATAAACTTTTGCGGTTTGCCACGCCCCCTGTGGGCGGACATATATCCGACAAAGCTTTTTGGTCTTGTGTGATCAGCCCGAGTATATATACAAAATTTGAGATCTCTGGCATCAATAGTGTCAAAAATATAGCAGAACATAAAAAATCACTATATCTTCAGGTCCGATTTGCCACGCCTCTAATGGGCGTAGACTTATAATTATAATCATAACATTAGCTGACATGCAAAATTTCAGCATTCTAGGTTTACAACTTTAGGAGATACAGTTTTATCCGATTTGCCACGCCCCCAATGGGCAGAGATATATCCGCCATAGCTTGTGATCTTGGGTGGTCGACGCGGACCTACACATACCAAATTTCAGCTATCTAGCTCTTTAACTAACATGATTTCTGGTATATCGGAAAATGCATTTTCCGATTTGCCACGTCCCTAGTGGGCGCATCGGGAAAATTTTAACAGTTTATAAATCGGAGATATACACGAGTATGTGTTCCGAATTTCAAGTCTCTAGCTTCAATAGCGCCGAAATAGATTGCGTTCATACGGACAGACAGACAGACGGATGGACGGACAGACGGACATTGCACGAAACCAATATACTGATTCACTTTCGTGAATGAGTATAAAAACTCAGACAGAAACTGTTTTTGTCGCGTCTGTCTTAGCTCGCTCGCGCTCTGAGAGAGACAGATATTTCTGTTTTCGTTTCCTCAAGTCAAACACTGTCTATTGCGTTTGTATGGGTAATCACGCGCGATTGTTGCGTTCTTTTTGTATGTATGTATGCATCAGAGAGCTGCAAGTGTGCCAATTTTTGCCACCTTACTCACACTCAATAAAATTTGTGTGCCGGTGCTAATCAACACTGGTTCAGCAAATCATAAACACACACTTATAAAAATTGTATGAGTGCTGCTCATGTAGGCAATATCTTGCTGTCACTCACAACAATGTGTCGTTTTCTTTTTGCTTGTCACCCAAGTATTTTTCGTCAACGCTTGCCGGTCCCACTTACACTTACAGCGAACGTAGAAAAAAAGCGAGAGTGTGAAAAGAGCAATGAGTAACAAACA